GAGTCAAAGGTGGTGGAAATTCTCTCAATGGAGTCCATAACCTCCCTCAGGTGTGGAAGTAACAGGGTAAAAGTATTAAAAGACACCAGGCCACACCGAATAAAAAAGAATATAAATGAGAATGAAAATACAGGTCCAAAGCAACTGACATCATAAAGGACCCAGAAGCAGTCAAAGTCACAAGAGCAAGATGAGTCGGACATCACTAGAAAACATTGTCAAGGTGCACTGTTCAAGAATAACTCGACTTTATGGGGCTTGTCTGAACTCAGAAATCTATATTTGTGGCATTTTCAGAGCAGTCTGTATGGGTGGAACAGTTAGCATATGCAGACAGGCAGGAGCAAAGAAAGGACGACTGCAGTGTCTACTGCGGTGTCTACGTGGGCATTTCTGGTGAGTATGATGTATTTTGGTTCAAATTTTCCATTCATTCATTTTCCGAACTGCTTTATCCTCACTAGGGTCGCGGGGGGTGCTGGAGCCTATCCCAGGGCAGTAGGTGGGGGACACCCCAAACCGGTTGCCAGCCAATCGCAGGGCACACAGAAACAAACAACCATTCACGCTTACACTCACACCTAGGGACAATTTGGAGTGTTCAATCAGCCTGCCATGCATGTTTTTGGAATGTGGGAGGAAACCGGAGGACCCGTAGAAAACCTACGCAAGCACGGGGAGAACATGCAAACTCCACACAGGAAGGCCGGAGCTGGAATTGAACCCGGTACCTCGGCACTGTGAAGTTGACGCGCTAACCACTCGACTACCGGGCTGCCCAGTTAAAATGTTTATTTTGATAAAAAATGATTGTGAAGTGCTGCAATGTAGAGGTTTGGATTGATGGGTATTGGGAGATAGAAGTAATATTTTGATCTTGCTTTAGTATTACTGGTATTTTTCCTCTAATACGCAAAATTCTTCGGTCCCTCTTTTAATGCCACACATCTAGCATTTTTCTACAGTATTTTGCAACATGGTGGCGTTAGAAAAAAGATGGATGGATTTTTTTTCCGTTTTGGGAATTATTTAGTTATTTGTTTGCCCAATATGACATATCTGTCAAAAATATTCAAATTATTGTTACTGGTATCATTTGTAAAAAAATTTTCCATTTGATTCGGCAGTCAGAACATGATTAAACATGACATTCAATCTCGAAAATGACTTGTTCAGGAATGCAAGTAAATAACTCAATTTACGATAACTTTCCTGTCCCTTTGTAGTTTTTAATATTGGAGCGGTAGTTTGAAAATTCATAAACAATGTAATTGTAAACAAATCAAATTTCATTTGAAGAGGGAATTTCCATCGCCAGAGAGAACCAGTGCTGTGTGGGAAGATTTCATTAGAAACATTGACTCATTCATGCTGTGCTCACAACCTACAACTAGTTGTGCTCTATTAGCTACATGGTGACTTTTAACAATTACAAGTACGCGCCTCCGTCTGCTGTGCCTGTGGAGAGTTGCTAAATCGAACTTAGTGGAGTAAGTCACAACCAGTCTCACTTTCGTCCACCCTTGTGTCTAATGCAGCCTCATATCTATTTTGTCCTGTCCTCATCCAAACTGGCTCCATAGTTGGCACACAATATATAGCCCACATTAACCTGAATGGAATGGAAACCCTGACCTATTGCACATAAACACTAACAGAGGGTGGAGTCAGCGGTTGTTAGTTTGAATGATATCTCAATTCCCTCTCCGCCGCCTTGGAAAAGAAATACCGGCGCCTCTCCCATGTCAGCAGCAGTAAGTCAGATATTTGTTCGAGGCCTCATATCGCCACAAGCGTCACCATGTGTGGCACATGCTACAGGGGCGGCAAATGACCAAATAAAGTGGAATGGTCATCTCAGAATGACATCTTTGTGGATAAGATATGTTCACGATCATTTTGTAATAGATTCTAAACATTTTTTTAAATTATAAGCTCATCTTGAAGAAAGGATCAGATTCTACTGAGAAGAGATACAGCAACTCTCTCTCTCTCTCTGTCTCTCTCTCTCTCCATTACACGTAATGACATGCTGGACATATTCTCTCTTTTCGGTACAAATCAGCATCTGTTCTTTTTCCATCCTTGCAAATTGAGCTAATTCAAAGAAAATAATCCCTGACACAGCTTTTCATGAATTTTACATGGATGCTATTAGGAATAGCCGTGACTCAGTCCTGCAATATCCTGAGGCACTCATTTCCAGTCATTTGCATTGAAAAGACTCACTGAGCCATGGATAACAGTAATAAACGAAATAAATAAATAAATAAATGGAAGAAATTTAATTCATGGATATCATTTAATTTAAAGCACATATTTACGCAAGATATATTTACATTTTTTGCGAGATGCTGGTGAGGAACAACAATGATTAATGATTACCATCTACTAAACACATACATTTCTTATGAGAGCACATTAGTGATAGGAAGCAAAGTATGACGTTGACTCATGACAATAACAGACTATGAGAGTCAACCATGGAAAAAAGAAACAACGATCATGTGTGACAAGCTCTCTGCAAAAATCTGCACATTTTCCCCATAAGGACTCCCCCAACATTGACAACTGTCACACTTACATAATTTAGTAGCATCAGATGGCAGGACGTCACAGCCACATCGATCCGTTCACCACCGATAATTTCAAATAGTGGAAATATCATCACAGCATGTAAGAACAGCATTTGCTCAAAACTGAATTTTTCCATTTCACACACACTGGGTGCACTTTGGGTAATAGATCAGCCTTCTTTTTAAGGGCAGCTGACACTGCTTTGATATACTTAAAAGAAAAATCTGCTGTGTGGTTCTGGAAGTACTTTGATATCTGTCTGTGATGAAAAGTGAGTTCAAATTAAGTGTATTCATGATCATTAATATTTTTACACTAACATTTGTTTTTGGGGTTTTTATTTATTTATTTTTGCATAAAATTCATCCAAATTTAGGATACTAGAAATGGAGATGCTGCCCATCAGCCATTAAGGATTATTTCAATTTACACTTGCCCCACTTTTTTTTCTGTAAATCTGGTACGATGAGTAATTCAACTAACTCTATTTACCTCGATACTACATTTGAGAAAATATTTTTTACTCATACTTTGGAAAATAAGTTTGGATGGTAAATGGTGGTAATAATGGTAAATTCTGTTCACTACTTACACGTAAGAAATGTTCAAAAGTTCCAGTGCAATTTTAACTGAAAAAACCTGAAATTACAAAACAGAAAAGACAATTTCTCAGTATTTGTCATTGCAGCCTCTAAGTTTGAATCTCATTAATACACACATAGTGTTTGTACTACAGTGTTTCCCCCCGCCCACTCACACAACTTCATCATGCATGACGGCCAGTCCACTGAGGTGGAAGTAGCTTGTGAAATATATATAGAGTATAAAACTGCATGAGGCTTTTGAAAGCTCAACCCAATCTCTGTCTAGAAGCCCTCAGTGGCTAATAACCATGGCTTGACTTTGCTTCCGAAGAAGCAGTTGATGCTTCACTGAGATCCCCTGTAACACGACTGATTCATATTTCTTTACCCAGCAGGTCTAATCTGGGATGAATCATCCAATCTGGGGAGCAGTCTGACTGTTGCTGCACAGGAATGACGTGATTATTTAAATCTGCTCTCTATAGATTAGATATTGCTGTGTGTCATGGTGTTCGACTGGTTAGCGCGTCCGCCTCAGAAGTGCAGAGATCGTGGCTTCGAATCCCGGCCCTGGCCTTCCTGTGTGGAGTTAGCATGTTCACCTGCGTGGGTTTTGTCCGGGTACTCTGGTTTCCTCCCATATTCGAGAAACATGCATGGCAGGCTAATGGAACATTTTAAATGGTGTCATTGTAAGGTGTGATTGTGAGCGCGAATGGGTGTTCGTTTGTGTGCCTTGCGATTGGCTGGCAACCAGTTCAGGGTGTCGCCTGCCTACTTCCCAAAGACGTCTGGGATAGGCTCTAGCACACCCGCGACCCTTGCGAGGATAAGCGGATTAGAAAATGGCTGGATGTGCGTCATCAGCTAATAAAGCTTCACACAGACCTCATGGCAGTAGCATCAAGGCTAAGAAGAGGTTTTTGATGAAGGAGAAAAGATGGAAAGACGGTTGAAAGCCATGCAAACTACCTCCAGAGGTCCAGACTTTTTGCATTAGCGTAGAATTTCTAGCGTAGAATGGCTGTTTAATTCTGTGACCATCTCATGGAGCTAAACAATGTAATGTCAACGACAACAAACTCGAAAATATTGCGCAATACGTCAAGCAAAAAATGCACGTATAGTATAGCATTTTCGATAACTGCAATGTTGCTCAACTTACCTCTGCATTCTAAGTGGATAATTATGGTGTCATTGTTAATAACAATATGATAGATTGATTATTTTTAGTTATCATACACTCTCTTATTATTAATGTTATTATTAATGTTATTTTGATATTGATTGATTGATTGATTGATTATGCTTGCAAAGAAGAACGCTTATGCCTGCAATCATTAATTGAGTATGCCTGCAATTAAGAACGCTTATGCTTTTAATAAAGATATGATGCTTTTAATCATTATATACTCACATTTATAATCAAGAATGCTTAGTGCACTGTGTGGCAGTTTAGGGACGCAACCACCTTTTCAAGGACGTGGTTGGGATGAGATAAGTATTAAGACGAAACAGGAGCAAGGTTGGACAGTGGATGGAGCCATCAACACCAGCTGCAACGTGATGTTTTTGTAACAATTGCACACATGTACGTAATTTACACTCACATACACACAAATAGTCAAACAAGTTCAGTGTGTCTTCAACAGCCCCCACCCTTTAGGTTGGACACACCTATGTAGTAGATTTTCCAATAAATGAGTCGGTGAAGGGGGGGATCGTCAGGGTGACGTGCAGAGAACTGAAACCTAACGCTTCTCCTCGTTCCCTCCTGGTACCAGAATTGAGTCTCCTGTCTCCTCTTTGTGTTTTATTCCGAAGTGTCAAATTGATGAACCTGACATTTTTGGGGGCTTGTCCGGGATCGCAATATACCTGACGCCTCCAGACGCTGCGTCGACGGCCAGGAAGACCGTGGCCACGGCAAAAACACCCTTTCCGGGACTGGGTTTCGGCTCCTCGTCTGGGGCTGAGGGTTGACGCGAATCCAGAGGAGAGAGGACTACTCTTGGTAAGTAGGACGGCGGTGTCCTGTACGTACTTAAACTCCGCATTAATACTCTTTCAAAGGTTGAATGAGTGTTTGCGCGCCGGGTTTTTAAAGACGGAGGTCGGAGTGGTCTTTAAACCTGTTTTTAATTAAAACCCTCTCAGGACAGGTGTTGCAGATTTGTAACAACCAAGTACCTAGACTTCACTTGTTACAAGAACTTAATTTGAGCCTGAGAGGGATTTATTAAGAAGGAACTCTTTCAAAGCGTTGAATGAGTGTTTGCGCGCCGGCTAAAGACAGAGTGGTCTTTAAAGCCGTTTAAAGCCCTGAGCCATACTAGTCCCTATCAGGCAGATAGACAGAGTTGAGTGTTTAAAACTGTTGAGGGCGGCGGTGTCCTGTACGTACTTAAACTCCGCGTGTATATAGAACGGTACCTAGGTTGAATGTAATCGAATAAAATGCGCTTAATGAGTGACTGTGTAACTGTGTGAGTGGGGGTTTGCTACCTCATTCGAACAGGACATTTTTTGTGGCAACTGTCTGAGGAAGCAGATGCAAGAATTTCCCGCCACTTTGGTATACTTTGGTACACTTTGGTGGTAGAAGGTTGGAAATTACCTCAGTCGGAGAAATTGTCACCCTGTTCAAGGGAAAAGTCATCAGAGTTGGGCTAGGTAAACCGCTGACTCTCAAATTTGCAAAATGGGGATACTAAATAGTGAGACCACGGATAAAAAGAATCCTAAAATGAAATTAACATGTACGGACTGGAAATTCATAGAGAGCCAATGTCCTTCAAAGATAAAACATCTAAATTTGTGGATAAAAAAAATATAATTTCGCTGGCCAGCTGAACACACAAACATTAGTGCACCTGCAGGATAATATTAGAACTATGTGCAAAAATGACAAAGAGAAAATGGATAAGGATGGGTTCGAAGACAGTGAGTTCTGGATGTTCTTGGCTGAAAAGAGGCAGAGAGTGAAGAGAAAAAGGGAATAGAGAAAGTTGAAAAAAGGGAACGAATCAGTGAGATGGAATTTAACCATGACAAGAGCGAAGGAAAGGTTATGTTTCACCGGAGAGAGGATGATGAATTGGGACCGGTAGGTATACAGACAGGAGAAAAACAGAAGGTAGAGAGAGTTCTGGGTGTACCCCGCCTACTGCCCGAAGTCAACTCGTGAGGAAAAAGCGATTCAGATATGGATGGATGAATGGATCATTTGCTTGTGTCAGCTTTCTGGTGCACACATTTTGCTTTAAAGTCAAGCAGTACTTACTCTCTGAAAGTTTTAGAAACTGTTGAAACATTTTTCCTAATTAGAGTAATTTATATTGCCTCAAGTGAACTGTGGCTTTTGCAGGACAGACCTCTCCAGGCCCCGATAGCGTCTGTGACTCTGAGTCAATTGGTTTGTTATCCGCGATGTATTGCAGTGGGCCATGGTCCCTGACAAGGGTGTTGTGATGCTTTAATGCCTTAATAAAATCAGGCTGTATACCTTTGATGATTCCACCCACTCCTGCAAACGAACTATACACCACTGAGAAATTTACCGTCCTCTGGAATGTGAGACCAATGCAATTAGTGTCAGCGAGATGAGCATGCATGGAAAATCCTTTTTAGCAGGGCTTAGAGCCGATACAAAGGGAGTGCACCTCCGTTTTATAGCCCTTTTGTTATTCTGTCTTGTTTGGTGTTCCCATCCAAGATGAAACTGTCATTAGGGAATTACCGGTATCATGACAGCACTATGTATCATGCTTTGCACTTAAACAAACTGTGTAGCATAAAGACTGACCTGGTGGGACTGGAGAGCAATGTTAGAAAGTTCCATAGACAGATTTTGAATGACTTTGAACAAACAATTCAAAGAGGAAAGTCAGACACTTGTTATTTCTTCTGTTTATCATAACATTCATTTAAGCAACCGCCCCTCCATTCTACAAATCAGGGAAGCAGCCATTCTATTTCAATGTCTCCAATACAGTATATGGTAAGTGCTCAAAGTAATATGCTCATCAAATAAGCTTCGAGAATGATCAGCTTTGAATACTGCTTAGTTAGCTTGGATTAATGTATCATGTATGTATCACGGGTTTTTGTGCATGTAAGGCATATAAGCACTTGTGCATGTAAGACATTTTGTTGCAGCTCTGGATAAAGGTGTGGATTTCTAGATGCATCCTTGACATGGAGGTGGCCAAAGTGACACTTTTTTCACAGGACTCCGAATCCCATGCAGCGACCTTCTGTATGAGTGACAGAGCGTGGACTTAAATAGCAAAAATTTTGTTTCTCTCAAGAATTATCAGTCTTTACACAGCACAGCCACTGTGCTGATGACACTGAAATCCTTCTGTGACATGATGTGGTTCTTTTTTGTGCTGTGAAATAAACGAGCCCAAATGTCAAAATGGAGCAGCTTTGTGAAGGGCACGGAGTGACCCGGTTGCATTGTTCAGCAAGCGTCAGAGGGATATACTGGGATGCTGGTGAAACAGCGTGTAATCTCGCAGCCTGCGGAGACAGAGATGCGGCTTTCTCACAATGCAGCAATGAACAGGCGTCTTCGCTTGTTAAGTCTCCGTGTGATTGGCACGCTTTTGTATGTGCGCAGATAAACATAGGCCTGTTCTGAAAGGGAAGCTGTGGATTGTGGTGCTGTTTGTCCCACTGGACTCAGCTACTTAGTTATCCACTTATTCACAGAGTTTAGTCCACAACCACTTTATTTTCAACTTGGAAAGACGCAGAAGCACCATAGAGGACAGCTGACTTTTGAGTGTCACGTGTCCGAATAAGCACGATGGTCCTCCTCCCGTCATTCTTATGCTTGACTCTTTTTGCTTTGGATCGCAAAGGACACGGGACAATGGAGAAAGAGGAACGTTACTGTGGCTATCAAATTAATTCTACAACCTGTTTTCAAAAGATTTGATCCTGGATTCACGTACACGTAGACGTTTTTTGTAGGCACCTAAAATTTGAAATTGAAATTCAATTCTTGAAACTTTTAGGAGATGATGTCAAGTCAGTGGGCAGCACAGAGGACTAGTGGGTTAACACATCTGCTCGCAGTATTGAGGTTTTGGGTTTGAATCTCAGTTTAGGGCTTCCAGTGTACTGTATTCCCTGAGCTTGAGCGGGTTTTCTCACGGCTCTCCCAATTCCCCCCACAAAAAACATGTATGTTAGGTTGATTCAAGATTCAGTATAACTATTAAATGGTGTGACTGTGTGTGCCTGGTTGTCATGTCCATTATCTGGCAACTAGTTCAAGGTGTAACTTTCAAGAGGAAACAAAAGGACTGAAAGAAAACATGAAGTTAAGAGTCCATAATGGCAGTCCTTTTTCATCTTGTCTTTTCCAGGTTAGCTCTGAGCGCATTCACCAGAATGAACACCAACTCTTCTGACGAATTCTTCCAGGCCACAAATCATGCTGAGCAGACCTTCCGAAAGATGGAAAGCTACCTGCAGCATAAGCAACTGTGCGATGTGCTTCTCATAGCAGGTGATCACAGGATACCAGCTCACAGGTCAGCGCTCCTCTTGAATTTGATTTATTATTTCATTACATTTGATGTGAAATGCACAAACTTCATTAAGATTTCCAATGTGAATGTTTGGCTTTGCTCTGGTCTTACCGGGTTGCCTCGTTGAGCAAAAAAATCAAATAATCCTTAGGAGACAGTTGAGCCTACAGATGAGCAAACACATTGTTCACCAGTCTGCAAACAAATAAAACCCACTGCTGTGATCTAATTACATCTCTACCCTCTCACATCGACATGTTACTTTTGAGACGCAGACGCGTACTGGGATCCAAATCACAAGCATGTCATTATGTGGCCGGAAGAAATTGAGAAAAACCATGAAGCATTCTCTCATAGCATCAAGCCAAAGTGAGCAGACAAATATAAATGATGAATTCCGTGCTTTTTGCTGGATCACGTTAACTTATTCAGGTGCACCTGGTAAAGTGACAGTTCCAGCTCCATACTCAAATTAAGGAGACTGGGGGAGAAGAATGAAACATCTTTGGCAGGAAAATGCTTTCGTGCTTCTCTTTGCGCTTATTTTAATGAAGAACAGCTGTCTATTTCTACCGTAGCGCTTGCACTCCAATTTCTTCCACACATCTAAAATCAATTCATCGCCCGCTTTTGCATTTTTAATCCATCAGAGTGAACAAACACAGTTTCAAAACCACACAGGACTACATTGTATAATAATCATATTTGAACGCACGAACAATATTCAGTCATGATGCCAGTATGTACACAGTACGTGCCGCGCCGACCTTACTTGAATTGTCTCTGCATCAGACTTGTTCTGAGCGCCGTCTCCGACTACTTTGCTGCAATGTTCACAAGTGACGTGAAGGAGGCCAAACAGGAGGAGATCAAGATGGAGGGGGTGGATCCAGATGCCCTTACCTCTCTGGTTCATTTTGCCTACACTGGTGAGTGCTCATAAAGATTTTCACAAGCGCTTGCAAGTCGTTAGGAGACCTCTGGAACGCGACCGTGATTAAAATGGATCAATCACTGAAGTGAATGACTGGCCACCCTCATGACTTTATATTACTTCATCGCACAATTTCCCTTCTGTATGTGACAAAGCATTTCCTTTTTCGCTGCATTGTAAATACCTAAAATTAAAAACAGGATGTTATGATAATTTGTTCCGCTTTTTACGATGGGGATTAAAAAAAGCAGTTTGGTTTTTATTACGTCAATGAATGTTATCGCCGAGGAAAAGGATTTATGCTCATTTTTATCTATTCGATGGTGGGGTGGCAGCAATTATGAGTGACACCATTACAGTTTTTGCCGGCGCAGCTACATTTGGTCGTTGCATAAAAAATATAGCTTGCGCACTCTGACATTGCAGGTGTCCTTGAGTTGAAAGAGGAGACCATCGAGAGTTTATTGGCGGCAGCTTGCCTCTTGCAGCTCTCACAAGTCATCCAAGTTTGCTGCAACTTTCTGATGAAGCAGCTTCATCCCTCCAACTGCCTGGGAATACGCTCCTTTGCCGACGCCCAGGGCTGCGTGGACCTTCTTAATGTGGCTCACAACTACACCATGGTAGGCAAACACGGAGAAATACAACAATGAAATGGCCAACTCTCCAACACCATAGCTTTGAATGCAAATTCTATTGACTTTGCCATTACCGGTGC